GGCCTGTGATCAACACCCCCTTGTGTTGCTTCAAATTGTCATAACTTGGGCTACAGTGCTCCAAACGAGGCGCGGTTCGAAGCCACGCGTAGCTAATGATTAGAAGAAGACATTTAGTAACTTCTGGTCTAAGGATATAAGAGTATGATGTTAAGCTTAGTTATTTTTATTCCGCAACGTAATACGGTTATGATCACGCACTTGGTTATCTTAAGTTCGGCATGTTTTAAAAAGAAAAATTTAACCGGATTTTAATTGAACCATGTGATTGTAACTGCGCTTAATATCATAAGGCGATGTTAACAAACCGGTTCTAGAACGGGGTGTTACACTTTAGACCAATTGCTTTCTGCAACATATTGTATAAAATCATCTTCAAGCTTTTGGCTAACCGGATTGCCCCTATTCTAGAAAAGATTGTTGGAGAATCCCAATCTACCTTTCTAAAGAATAGAAACATTCGATAATATTTTCCTTGTCCAAGAGCTGCTCCGAAAATATTCTCGTAAGAGGACTTCGCCTAGGTGCTTGTTAAAGGTTGATCTTCACAAGGCTTATGATTCTATATCCTGGAAGTTTCTTGAGTGGATGATTAAAGCCGTGGGTTTTCCCTCTCAGTTTTGCTCCTGGATCATGGAATGTGTCACTTCCACCTCCTTTAGTGTGGTTGTGAATGGCTCAATCCATGACCACTTCAAAAGGCAGCGTGGTTTTGAGACAAGGGGATCCCCCTTCTCCTTTTCTTTTTGTTCTCTGCTTGGAATATTTATCTCGAGATTTGAAGATCCTAGAAGTCAACAATACCTTCAAGTTCCATCCTTCTTGTGTTGCTGTGCACCTGTCTCATCTAGCTTTGATTGATGACATTATGTTATTTTCCAGAAGTGATTTATTATCTGTCACATCCACTTTGAGAAGCTTTAGAATTTTTGTGATGTTTCTGGTCTGTCCATTAGCAATAAGAAATTTGCCATTTAATCAGCAGGTGTTGACAACAATGTCCTCTCAGATTTGATTGAGCTCACTGGCTTCAGTATCAGATCCTTTCCATTCCGCTACCTAGGTGTTCCCCTTATGTCGTCAGGTTGAATGTTTGCCACTATGATCCTCTCTCTTCTTTGCCAAATTTCTGGGCTAGTTCAGGGTTGGAGAAGAAGAACTCTCTCTTATGTAGGTAGATTGGAGCTTATCCGAGCCGTTATCCAGGGTACTGTCAACTTTTGGATGGGAGTTTTTCCTCTGCCAAGTTCAGTCCTTAATCGTATCAATGCCTATTGCAGAAATTTCTTATGGGGCAAATTTGATTTGGGCAAAAAGAAGCCTTTAGTTTCTTGGATTGCAGTTTGTTCCCCTAAAAAAGAAAGAGGCCAGGGCCTTTTTTTGTCTCAAATCTTGGAATCAAGCTCTTCTTTCTCGCGTCCTTTGGGACCTCCATTCAAAGAAAGATTCCTTGTGGGTTCGTTGGTTGCACCACTATTATTTCAAAGGTGGCTTTGTTTAGGACTTCCATAGTAGTGGTTCAGATTCGGTTCTCCTAAGAAAGATTGCATCCATTCGTGATTTGATCGTTAACAGAGAGGGCAATGTGGAAGATATAAAACAGATGCTTCTTTCTTGGGTCCACAACAACCACCTCATTGCTGGCAATGCCTATGATTACATCCGCACCAAAAAGCCTCATATACACTAGTTTCCTATTGTGTGGAATGCAGATATTCCCCCCAAAGTTTCATTCATCTTATGGCTTGCTACAAAGAAGAAACTATTCACCCTTGATAAGGCTGAGTTTCTAAACAAAGGCTCCCTCTGTCATCTTTGCAACACAGAGGCAAAGAGCATTGACCATCTTTTTTTTCTCTTGCACCATTACTCTTCGCATATGGGGTAACATCCGTGACTGGCTTCCATTCAAAAGGCGCACAATTTCGCTGCAAGGTACCATTAACAGCCCCATTCATGGATGGGCAATCTCTAGTCTTTTGGGAAAAATGTGTTGCTTGGCATTAGCCACCATTGTCTACTGCATATGGATGGCTAGGAATTTGCTATTTTTTTAGAATTCCCCTCTTGATGCAAGATTAAATTTTTTGTTTATAGACACTCACACTTGATGCATCTATTTTAGGCACATGCTCTTGGTGCATCTGTTTTAGGCTCTTGCACCTAACACATGTTTTTTGTTGATTTCTGTTGCGAGGTATGCCCTGTTTCCTTTGTAAATCGTTTGGGTTAACACAAATTTACATTTTCCCCAAAAAAAAAGTAGTGACAAGAGAGGATCCATAAAAATATTGAGATAAATAATTATAAAATCACCACGGTTGATTCAACTTTATATAGTCAGATACATGGTTATGTTATTTCCCTTGAGATTTGAATCTATTAGATAAATAAAATGTTTTTAGGGAATAAATCTTTGGTGTTACTGTTGCACCAAAGATTCAATAAATCCTATTAGTTGAAATATTACATATCAACTAAAGCTTTTTTTTTTTTCTGCCAAATTTTTTCTCTCTCCTACAATGTGTTATGCTCCCATTAATAGGATGCACTGAATCTTGGTGCAAGAGTTATTCGTTTTTAGGGATCAACATCGAAGACACTTTTAGAGATAAGTAATTATTTTTATTAAATAAAAAAAGCATCATTTAGTATCATTGGGGTATTGACCGGGTTATTAAGTATTTATTTATTCATTACTAAATTTGTAATAAATGTTCAAAAGCCTGTCAAATACAAATAAAATGCATGGGATACACGCCAGAATAATGTCCATTAAGTTTGAAAGCGGTTAATTTCCTTTCCTTCGCCTTTGATTGTAAAATCCGAGATTTTCCTCGTATAAAGCTGAGAGAAGCGAGGAAATTATTGATTTCCACCTTCTTTTTTTTTATTTTTACTTTTCATATCCACTCAGTCATTATTGTCTCTATTTAGCATACTTTTTCAATTAGAGAAGAACTTGTAGAAGTCGCAGGCGTGTAATTTGACGATTTCACACACAAACACTGGGAGTGCTAGAAAATGTGATTGAGACACTGGAGAAATAGGAGGGAGGGTGGCCAGAAATTTGAAGCCAGTGATTATGACATGGGACAGGTAAATGAAGACGAGACACCCTTGTGGACGCGTTTTTCTCTCTAGACTCGTTGACTAGTCACATTGAAGGTGAAGTGTGAACACTTACCGCTTAAAACGACGACCTGACCATTCCTTAACCTTGTCTTGTTCCCAAACACTTCCAACGTCATTAGGTGTTCTGTTTTTCTCTCTTTCTTTCCATTTTTTCAACCACAATGGCCCATTTCTCTTTCAAAGTCTCTGGACTCTGGAACTTTCAGTTTTTAATTTTTAATTTTTAAATTTTTTGTTTAATCTTAATTACCATTGACACACAAGTTTTCCTAGTGTTTTCATTCTGATTTGCGTCGAGTAGACGGTTTAACAAGCCTCCAAGACCAAGATACGATTAAGGCGGAGAAGTGTATTTTTGAAGCAGTTTAAGAGATTATAAAGAGTCAAGAAGTCAAGTCTTTGTGTTTCTTTCAATAGGGGTAATAATCGAGCATGAAATTGGTCTCACTTCACTAAAGGGCAGATATGTATCTCTCAATTGGTTTCCCTGCTTTCCCACCCCAACTTCCATCTTCCATGGGAATCTTTTCAAAGAGTATTCCATAGTCATTTTCCAATTCAACTGGCGTGTCAGGAACTTCAAGTTTGTGTTATATTGGGAAGAAGAAGAAGACTGTACAAATAGGCAAGACAGTACAAACAAGCAAGACAAACTTCAGCTTACTTTACAGAATCTAATCCCATATTCGCTTTTTCCTCATAAAGTGGGGGATTCCGGATGACTCTAGTTTATGAATTTCTCTTCCTTTTGTTTTGTCACCTTATAATGCTACTTCCCTTGGCGGCTGGGTACCAAGGAGAGTGCCCTCCTTCATTTCAATGTGGATATGTTGGCAATATCAGCTTCCCTTTCACTACAACAGAACGCCAAGACTGTGGCTTATTGGCCATACACAATTGTGATGATCATCCAATGAAGCCAAAAGAGATCCAATTAGTCAATCAAGGGAAATGGTTCGAAGTTATACGCGTTGTTGAACAGGTTCCTCGTAGTCCTACTGTTACAAATTTTCAAGTTAGAGACAAGTATCTGTATCAACTTCTGCAATCCAGAAATTGTGAAGCTTTCACGTACAACTGTACGCTTCCTCCCACCTTCCATTTTGGTGCTTTTCGTATCGGAACTAAAGCAACCCTGTTCAGGTGCAACCAAACCCTCCATGTCAGGCCCCCAACATATATGTATAATTATACAAAGTGCCATGACTACGATCTCTACTACGCGCCAGAAATCACTGCTAATGATGCTTTGACAGCATGTGCAAAGGTCCAGCTTCCAATTAAAGACGTGCCCGACTCTTATGACCCATTTACATTCGTAAACGCAGATATCAACGTTGAAGTAAAATTAACAGATGAATGTGCCAATTGTCACCATTTACAGAGAGGGCAGTGTCAACTCGACAACGGAGGGAGATTTTTTTGTGCCAATGGTATAGTGCAACAAAAACCCTCGAAACACAAGCACACATGATGCATTGCACTAATAGTAGTTGTTTTCACCCGCTTTGCACATTATAGGTTCTTAAATGTTTCCTTATAAATTTGTGAAACATTGTCTACTTTTCTGTAAAACGCCCCAAGCCCCGTTCCTTCTCTTATACATAATCAGAATCATACAGCTAAAGAGAAGTGACATTTATGTGCCTAATCTATTTTCTTTCATGTTGTCTTGAATATTTCGAATTTAGTATTTACTACACTTGTTAGCTGATTTCCTGTTACCGTTGGATGGTAAGAGCTGAGTTCCATTGGATGACTGTCTAATATTATTTGTGCAACACTCAGAATTATTATCTGCATAACTTTATCGTTGGTAATCCAAATCTGTATCATTTGCTCTAAATTGTTTCTTCTAATTGCAGCTACAGCAAAGCCAAAAAGGTTGCGTAGGAATGTCAAACTTTGTATAGGTAATGTACCGGTTACATAACTTGATATTATTCCTTTTCGGCATATGACTTTAAATTCATTGATCTTGAGTATGAAAGTTCATCAGCGTGTTGAATTCAAAGGATCTTAATTCAGATTTCTTTTCTTTTAACATCCTCATTGTTTTATTCTTTCTTCCAAAAGGATGAAAACATTTTTTTAAGTATTTGTATAATTCTATCAACGCTATCAGGAAAGGGGAAGGATTCGTTCCCTCTGATATGGTTCATACTAGTCTTCAATTGATTTTATTTTTTTGGGTCCGCTTAACAGGTTTAGGTGTTGGAATCCTAGGCATCTTGATAATTGGGTTGCTGTTGCTTTTTCTACTCTACAAACGAAAACATGCTACCTCAGGTGGACACTTACAATCAGGAAATTCTTATTCTGATTCCTCCTTAAATCCACGCTCAGAAAGTGGTAGTGTATACTTTGGAGTTCCACTCTTCTCCTACGAGAAGCTTAAAGAAGCAACAAACAATTTCGACCATACTAGAGAACTTGGAGATGGAGGCTTTGGTACTGTTTACTATGGTAGGCTTCCTAAAAACTGCCCTATTAATTGACATACTAAATATACTCTTCCATCTTGTTGTGTAACTTATACTTTGATCTTTAAAACTCAGGGAAACTCCCAGATGGACGGGAAGTAGCTGTCAAACGCTTATATGAGCACAACTACAGGAGAGTACAACAGTTCATAAATGAAGTTGAGATCCTCACACGTTTGCGTCATAAAAATCTTGTGTCCCTCTATGGCTGCACTTCACGTCACAGCCGTGAACTACTGCTTGTGTATGAATATATTTCAAACGGTACCGTTGCTTGCCATCTCCATGGTGGATTAGCCAAGTCTGGCTTACTACCGGGGTCTTTGCGAATTAAAATTGCCATAGAAACTGCTAGTGCGTTGGCCTATCTCCATGCTTCGGGTATCATTCACCGTGATGTGAAAACCAGCAACATACTCCTTGACAGCAGTTTTTGTGTTAAAGTTGCAGATTTTGGACTCTCAAGACTATTCCCAGATGATGTCACCCATGTCTCCACGGCTCCACAAGGGACTCCAGGTTATGTTGATCCGGAATATCATCAATGTTACCAGCTTACTAACAAGAGTGATGTATACAGTTTTGGTGTTGTGCTCATTGAGCTTATATCATCTAAGCCTGCTGTTGATATAAACAGGAGTAAGGATGAGATTAACTTGTCAAATCTAGCCGTAAAGAAGATTCAAGAAAGTGCAATTGGTGAGCTGGTAGATCCTTCTATTGGTTTTGATTCAGATCAAGATGTTAAGAGGATGATGGTTTCAGTGGCAGAATTGGCTTTTCAATGTTTGCAAAGGGACAAGGAATTGAGACCTTCCATGCAAGAAGTGTTGGATGAATTGTGTAGAATTGAGAGTGGGAAAGATGAGGTGGCGCTTCAAGAGGAGGCAGATGTTCATGGTGTTGGAGTTTCTCACAGTAACGTGCATCCACCATTACTAGCTTCACCTGACTCTGATGAAGTTGGATTATTGAAAAATATGAAGCTGCCGACTTCACCGAACACTGTCACAGATAAATGGGAAAGTGAACGTACCACGCCTAATGTCAGTGGTTAATCACTTAGCTTATTATCAATTGTTGATAATCCATTTTTACCATATCAACTTTCAGCACTCATTGTTAGTTGAAAAAGTGAGTCAAAATATCATTAACGTCTCATTCATTTGTGTGGTTATTACTAGGATGATTATATTATACATACGGCATAGCGTAGTCAAGCACAGATTATATGAGAAAAACCAGTACGAAAATACCACAAAAAAGAAAAGAAAAGAAAAGAAAAAAGTCTTAGGCACAATGTTTGCTATGCATTCTATTAACTATCTGCATGTCACTGGATTTTTTAAGAAATTTGTATAAACAGATATATGAGAACAGCTAACATTTTTTAGTCATATCCTTAGAACGATACAAGAAGGGAAACCTTCACATAGTCGTGGCCTTGTGTTAATGGAGCTTTATAGATTTAGGGTCATGCTTTTGCGCATTATTTGTATTCATATCTTTGGTGCTCAACCAAACCATTTTTCGTATTCTATCCTACTATTTTTTTTTTTCTGACAGTTTCCCCGTAAACATGATTTGGATTTCTTTTGCCCCCTTTCTTCATTATGTTAGGAGAATAGAGATAAAAAGCCAATTAGATAATGGTTTCCAAAGGTTTTTAAACTTTTAATGGGGTATAGATTGACCGGGCGAGCTAGATTTTGATTTAAATAAACAAAGTTTATGTAAAATGTTTTGAGGTAAACCTGGTTAAATTACAAATTTGACCTAATTTATATTTAAAAATCAAAATGTTTGACTTAAACTTATTAACGTGTTAAAGCCAGGATGGGGTTCATACGTCTTTTTGGATGGATTCGTGGGTGCCAGGATGTCCTCAACTTGTTTCTCTGGCCGTTCAACCTATTCCTCCTATTATGACTCATTGGTCTACGTCTCAATTTGTAACTTGTTATGGTAATTGGGACTGGCCTTTATTTCAGCACCTTCTTCCTACTTCAGTATTAGACAAGATTCGTAGTGTGCTCCCTCCTACAGTGGATCCTTCTCCGGACCGTGTTATTTGGGCAGGTAGCCAAGATGGGGTTTTTTCAGTGAAATCAGCTTATAACTATCTCATGGGTACCTCGCATTATCATCAGGATAGGATTTGGAAGGTAATTTGGGCTTGGCCTGGTCCTGAACGTATTAGACAATTCTTATGGCTTCTCTACATAGGTTCTCTTTTAACTAATGTTCATAGAGTGCATCGTCACATGGCTACAGATGCAGGGTGTCTGAGATGTCATTATAATCTTGAGGATAGTTTACATGCCATTAGAGATTGTCCTGGTGCCAGGGAATTATGGGAGCATTGGGTTCCTTCTGATATCCGTAGTGACTTTTTCTCCATGGATCTTCACCTATGGATTCAGACAAATCTAGGATTAAAAGGTCCGTTTCAAACTGATCGAACTTGGCCTTTGTATTTTGGGGTGATAGCTTGGTGTTTGTGGGGGGAAAGAAATAAGGCGATCTTTGATCAAACTATCACCTCGAAGTATGGTCTCATTAGGCGCATTACCTATACTAGTGGTAATATTCAATTGGCTAATGAAACCCTTATTAAGATTGGTCATCAGGAGCTTAGAAGAGAGGAACGTCTTATTCACTGGAATTTTCCCTCTGAGGGTTATGTTAAACTTAATGTGGATGGTTCCAGTATAGACAGTGGGCAAATGACTGCATGTGGTGGAGTCATAAGGGATGCTGCTGGGAACTGGTTAACTGGTTTTACAAAATTCCTTGGGAGTGGTACTTCTACTTCAGCGGAAATTTGGGGGTTCTTGACAGGTATGGATCTGGCTTGACATAAGGGATTTAGGAGAGTCTTTGTGGAGGGTGACTCCAAGGTGGCTTTGGAATTTATAAGAAAAGGGTGTGACATAAGTCATCCTCTTTCTGCTTTAATCATCCGAGCTCGTAGTATGCTTCAAAGAGACTGGATTATTCAGCTTAGTCATACTTATAGAGAAGACAATTTTGTTGCTGATTGGCTTGCTACTCATGCACCTCATCAGGATGGACAGCTGATTGTGCTGGATGTCCCTCCAACGACTTGTTTGGAATTGCTTCGTAATGACTTGAGGGGAGTTAGTCTCCCAAGATTGTGCCCAGTATAGGGCTTTTTTTGATGTTGCTTTAGTTTTCATTGTATTTCCAAAAAAAATTAACGTGTTAAAGCCTATTAAGTCTTCAATACTTATCAAGAATTAAAAAATATATAAAATAATATTTTAATTAATTAAAATTATTTAAATAATCATTTTATTTTTTTAATTAAAATAAATAATACAATTTAGGCTACTTGTAGGGCCTAGACTTTGTAAAAGTAAGCCTGTAGCCTATTTTCTAAACAAGCTCTTTTTAAGGTCCGAGCTTATTCTATTTTACTAAAGGGTTTTATTAATCTCCTTTTACATAAGATAGGTATCTTATGTTGTAGAGAGAAACTAGGTGGGTCCCACCATTACAAGAAAAAAGAAAAAGAAAAAAAAAAGTGAGGTGCGGAAATCGAAGTGAGAGAAAATGAGATAAACTACCTCATGTAAAAGGAGACTAATATTTCCCTTTACTAAATATATAAGGTCAGACTTGACTTGACGTAAGCGGGCCAAATGCTCTAATAAACTATCTCATATATTTACATCCCTATTTTTTGAAGGGCTAAAGGATCCCTAGTTTTCCAAATTTTTATTTATTTTTTAGATAGTTCACATTTAATTGTATTTTAAATTTTTTATTAGATATGTGTGTACGTATATATATGCACAACATAATTTTTAAGGCTAGTTTTTGTTCCCTTTTTATTTTAACCATGTATAATAGTTTGGGGCTTTCGGCAATGATAGCCTTATCTAATAGGAAAATTTTCTTTTCTTCTATCCATACATTGATAGTTGTGTTGTTTTTTTTCTCTCTCTCTTATTGGGGCCCACTTCAAGTTAAGTGTGCAAGAGACAAATTTTTTTTGCTATGATATAAGAGTACAATTACCCTAAGGGTTTGTTTGGAACAGCTGATAAAGAAGATAGGATATGATAACTTATCATATCCTACTTTTATCTCTTGTTTGGTGGGTCATTAGGATATGATTAGTTTATCCTATTGTCTCATTTTATCCTATCCAATACATGATTTCTTATTCTATGGGGGGAGCTGGATTAAGATTCAACATGATAGGATACAAATATTAGATACCCAATATATTCACACGCTACCCAATATATTTGTATTTATTGCATTATATTTTATTTTTTCTTTTTCTTTTCTCTTTCTACATAATCTTATCAGATTTCTAATAAGGTGCTCGTCAAACACAAGACATGATATATACTTATCAGCCCCATATCATATCTTACCATTATCAGCCTCATATCATATTCTACTCTTATCCTATCCTATCTACCAAACGAGCCCTAATAATTTTAGTATTTTTTTAATTTTAAACAAAGTGGGAATAATGAATTTTTGTACAGACACCACAGTATAATAATACTCTCATTGATTAATTTGTCATTTTCTATTAAAAATAGACAATTGTCTTTCTCACAGCCATTTGAGAGAATTTACAAATAATAGAACCTTTAACGTAAAAACCCATTTCATTTGCTGTATAATTCTATATATTTTTGTATTATTTTTAAAGCCTGTTTGAATGGGGTATTTACAAAGCGTATTTTGAGCTACAATTTTTTTTTCCGATAAGACGGTGGCACTGAGATTTTAACCTATAAATTATCTAAATCTCTCACCATTAAATTAATCATAATGACTTTTTAAGCTACTGATTTAATTTAGTTTGATATGGAACGATTCTATTAGCAATTATAACCAGAAGTTAGACTCAAATTTAATGGAAAGAATAATGAAAATTCAAGATGTATAATTTGGAAGAAATTAGTGGATCCCTGTGAATCTAGTTATTTAACAGGTGAATGGTTAACTAATTACGTGACTTGATAAAAACTTTACTAATCTTTTTTTGCTTGATTTAACGTATTAACTTAGTTTGAATTTTCAACAATTTCTTTTAATTTAAGTTTTTCTCTCTCTAAAGTTTTGGAATTTAAATCTTGAACTTGTAGAAAAACACTTATAAAGAAGGTTAACTTCAGTATCTAAATAATGATTAGTTTCTTACAAAAAAAGTTGTGAAGAAAGAATCTCACAAGATTTAAAGAGATAAGGAGAAAATTTCATTTTTTTATTATTTTTTTATAAAGTTGAAGCAAAATTTAAAGAGATAAGGAGATGGTGTAAATATGACTGAGTAAGTTCATAATCCGGAGTAAATATTCAGTATTATATATATTGGGATAAGCTAGCATCATGTAATAGGTAAAAAACAAATTTTTTCGGTTGACACAAAACAATTACGGGACCCACAATTTGTAAAAAAAAAAAAAAACCAGAAAGCTTGGAAATCGATCTATCAGCAAGATAACTTTTTGCTTTCATGTAACGTTATATTCATTTAACCCATATATATTATATACAAAAATTAATTAAAAGTAAAAAAAGAAGAGAGTTATGTGACATTAACTATAAAGGAATAATTACAATAATATGATTAGGTGACTCAATTTTTTCTATCTTTAGTATGGGAAAGGTTATACTTACTATCTTTTTTTCTTACTACTTCTTACTACCAAATCTTAACCGTTGATTTCCTTCAATCTAACGGTTATAATTTATTGGATTACATTTATTAATTAATTATTAATTTTCAATAAATTATAACCGTTAGATCAACGGAAATCAACGGTTAGGATTTGGTAGTAAGAAGTAGTAAAAAAAAAGGTAGTAAGTATAACATTTCCCCTTTAGTATATTGTGTTTAGTACATATTGAAAGTTTACAAACTCTTACGAATTATATTATAGGGAAAAATTATAGTTACTACCTCTTTTTCTTACTACTTGTTACTACTAAATCGTAACCGTTGATTTCCGTCAATCTAACGGTTATAATTTATTGGATATTAATAATTAATTAATAAGTATGATCCCATAAATTATAACCGTTAGATTGATGGAAATCAACGGTTACGATTTAGTAGTAACAAGTAGTAAGAAAAAGATGTAGTAACTATAACCTTCTCCTATATTATATACTATGAATAGTATATATTATTATAGGATTTTATTAATCTAATGTTAAAGGAGATAAATTATCTCATGTCATAGAGATAAAACTTGTGGGCTCCACCACCTAAAAATAAAAAGAAAAGAAAAAGGTGACACAATTATCGAAAGATGTGTAGGAGAGAAATTTATCACATGTAGCATAAGAATAGCTTTCCCCATTATTATATGCTGAAGTAATATATGTTATTTATAATACATAGTGTAAGAATTTATAAAATTTGAGTTTGTAAATATAACAATTCTCCTGTAAGAATACTAAAGAGATTTTACATAATCAGCAGGATGTGCCCCGGCCCGGCTAAACTTTAACATATTATACTTATTATATATAATTATCTAATTAATTATAATCTGGCCCAAGCTAAAATTATATTTGCCTCGGATTACAATTTGTAGTTTGATCCTATCTAAAACTTAAAATATTTTTAGAGAAGGATTTGGAGAAGTTGTATTAGGGTATATGTTCAATTTCACTTGTATGAAAAAAAAATATTTTTGGTAAAATTAAAAAATATTTAATAAAATTATAACTCTTCTTGTTGCTGTCTGATCAGGTACTGTGTATTTAATATAATTTAAATATATTATGATATGAACTAATTAAAATTAAGAAAAATAAATATATATATATATAATTTGTTAGTCTAGACTCAAATTAAAGTCCGATACCGCCACCGATAATCCGCTGTGTAACTTTTTTGTATACATAATTAAAAGAATTTATTATGAAAAATTATTTAAAAAAATCAAATTATTTAATGATTTAGCAATATGCTGTTAAAATATATTAAAATTAAACTGTAATATATAACCATCTAAAGAAAAATATTTGGTTAGATGCCTATCATCTGAACCGCCCCTCAGATAGTAGCCTTACGATTAAACTCAAATATAAGGATGGCTAAAATTTATGTGGCGGTGCCGAGAAATTCTGTCCTCATTTCCTTCCTTTTGTCTTCAAAGACCAAAACATTGCAATTTGCACGTCTAATTGGGAACTCCAGGTGCCACGAAATGAAGACATGAGTTTGTCAAATTCATGACGCGTTTTTCATACACAATTTGTACACTTTTACCACTGACTTTGACCTTAGCCAAGTGCCAGTGCCACCTTGGCACTGTCCATTCCCTCTAACTGCTTAACTACTAAACCCCTTCTCGTCACCTATTTCATTATCTAAGTGCCAAGTTTAATTTATTTTCCCCCTTCTTCTTTTGTTCTTTTTAATAATTTTAAGAAAAAAATTTATTTTTACCCACTGTGATTTTATGATTTATCATTTAAACTCCTTTGATTTCATTCATTGCGATTACAAAAATATCTCACTTAGATCCCTTGTATCTTATAGATATAAAAATATTTACTTTTTCAAAATTTTATTTTACATAATATGATATTATCAAATAAAATTATTAATTAAATATTAAATTAAAAAATACTTCAAGTTATTTATTTTGAAATTAATTCATAAATTATCTTAATGTTTTTCTTTATTAAAAAAATATTTTAAGATTAATTAAATATGTATTATCAAAATAAGATATTTACTTTCTTTAGACGATTTTATAACGATATTAGGTAAAAAATAGATAAAATAAAATAATATTTGATTTCAATTTATTTTCATGACAAAAATATACTTATTTTTTTAAATTTTTTTATTTGCCTTAAATGCATTAGATGGGGATATAAAATAAAAAAAGGAAAAATAAAATTTTATTGTATGTATAAAATTATAAGGATATTATTATTAATTAATATTAATTAATATTAATATTAATTTAAATAAATAATTTTGCAGAACATAATTTTAATTTATAATATGATAATAATATAAGATAAAAGTTGAGAAAAAAAAATGTATATATAAGACTACAAGAGATTTAAATGATATATTTTTGTAATTATAATAATTGTAAGAGAAAATTTGAAATCACATAGCGTTAAATAATAAATTATTTAAGTACAATAAGCTTAAATAACAAGTTTAAAATTACATGGATCAAATGATAAATCATAAAATAACAATAGGTGAAAATGACCTTTTCCCTAATTTTAAAATCCAAAATTTCGTTTGTATTCACTTCCAATCACCACTTTGCTGTAATCTTCATCACCAAGTCCCAATCTTCTTGTGAGCGTGAGCAAAGGAATAAAGTTCTAAGTTGCAATATTAAACTGTAAATTTGAATAGTCAATTCCTGTCTTTTGTGCTAATGTGCTGTTTCGTCAATGTGCTTGTCCTTTTCTTTCGTACTTGGGATTTTGTATCACTCCAACTTGGGATAATTAAGAGGAACCGTGGCCAATAACGTGTTTGTATCATTGTATGACATGGTTAATCTTTATCTACTTCTCTTTGTCATCAAGTCTTGCATGCTCATTTTCCAAGTCAACTGGCGTATCAAAGAAGTTCTTTAATTAATTGAGTTGATACATGACATGTACATGTATATATTGCGGAGACAGTGTAAGAAAACACTTAGCACAACTTCATCAGGTTGTCGTTGAGAGTCCATTACTTCTTTCTCATAAATTTGGGGAATTTGGGATGGCTCAAGTTGATATGTTGTGCTTCGTGTTATTAACTAACCTTGTTGTGATTTTGTCCGGTGGGTACCAACAAAACTGTCCACGCTCCTTTAATTGTGGGAACATTGGGCCTTTCCATTACCCTTTCACCAAAGCAGAACAACCACTCTGTGGCTTGCTACCAATACATAACTGTGATGGTGATTATTATTCACCCAGAAATATCCAACTGGAGATGAATGGAAAAAGCAAAGTGCTTAATGTTACGGGCATCGTTCTGCCAAATAAGATTACCCTTTTAGATGAAGATCTTCACCAGCGGTTGAAAGACCAAACTTGTGAAACATTGAACAATAATTATACTCTTTCATCCCCTTCTCCTTTGTTTTCTGTTTATATCAAATGGAACGTGACACTCTTCCGATGCAAACACGACCTCAATATCAAGCCCCCTGTAAGTTATCTTCAACACAAATGCGATGATCTCGATTTCGATATCTATTATGATGGCAGTCTCTCTCCTAATTATACTAATGAGGAGGAGGTCCATAGATTTTTCTCATCATGTTCAGCTCTTCAGTTTCCAAGTAAAGACCTCTCTGACACCAAAGACATTCAATCGTTTGTATCTAGCCAGATGGTTGTTGAAATAGTATTATCTCATGATTGTGATGAGTGCTGCCATCACAATCGAGGCCAATGTCGCCTTGACACCAATAAAAGTTTCTACTGTGACCAAGGTACATTTCAGATCATTTTATCATATATTCCACATGAATGGTTACTGGCATCATGGGTTTTAGATCATATTTTGACTAATTTGACCCTAATCCTTTATTGCTTTATTGTTTACTTAAAAAATTTCTTCAATTAACTTCTGCTGCAGAACCAGATAGTACAAATTTAAAGCTGCTACTCGGACTTGGGATAGGTACTGTACTTTAAATTTTTAATAGATATTCAGGGTGAGGGATCATATTGATGATCAGAATATCATATCTTATAAAGTTATGTCATATTAAAAGTTTGAATTTCCCTAACTACAGGTTTAAGTTTTACACTGCTATGCATTCTGATAATTGGATACTTCTTGAAACGAAAACATGCTACTTCAGACCCCCAACACCACCAATCAAGAAGCACACATACTGATGTAATTGATCCCCACTCAAATCCAGACCCAGAAGATGGCAGAGTTTACTTTGGAATCCCTCTCTTCTCTTACAAGGAGCTAGAAGAAGCTACAAATAATTTCCACCCGGCCAGACAAATTGGAAGTGGAGGCTTTGGAACAGTTTACTATGGTAAACCATTCCCACACATTATTCTCTCTATTGGAACATACATTGGTTGTGCTTCTACTTCCATCATGTTGAATAACTAGTTATCTGATCTTTAACAACCAGGAAAACTGCGAGATGGACGGGAAGTTGCTGTCAAGCGCTTATATGAGCACAACTACAGGAGAGTAGAACAGTTCATAAATGAAGTTGAGATCCTCACACGTTTGCGTCACATAAATCTTGTGTCCCTCTATGGCTGCACTTCACATCACAGTCAAGAACTACTGCTTGTGTATGAATATGTTCCAAATGGAACTGTTGCTTGTCATCTTCATGGGGATTTAGCAAGGTCTGGCACACTGCCTTGGCATGCAAGAATGAAAATTGCCATAGAGACAGCAAGCTCATTGGCTTATCTACATGCTTCTGACATCATACACCGTGATGTGAAAACTAAAAACCTTCTCCTTACCCACAGTTTCAGTGTTAAAGTTGCAGACTTTGGCCTTTCAAAGTTACTTCCCAGCGATGTCACCCATGCCTCCACAGCACCACAAGGGACCCCGGGTTACGTTGACCCGGAATATCACCAATGCTACCAGCTTAGTAGCAAGAGTGATGTATATAGTTTTGGAGTTGTGCTCATTGAACTAATATCATCTAAGCCTGCTGTTGACATGAGTAGGCATAGGGATGAGATTAACTTGTCAAACCTGGCCATAAAGAAGATTCAAAAAAGTGCTTTCAGTGAGCTGGTAGATCCTTCTCTTGGTTTTGATTCAGACAAAGAGGTTAAGAGGATGATAGTTTCGGTGGCAGAATTGGCTTTTCAATGTTTGCAAATGGACAAGGAATGGAGACCTTCCATGAATGAGGTTTTGAAGGTGCTGATGAGAATTGGAAGTGGGAAGGATAAACCTGAGCATCTAGAGGAAGTAGATTTACGTCCACCATCTCCACCTTCACCAGATTGTGATGAGATTGGATTATTGAAAAAAATTATGCTCACGCCTTCACCAAAAGCCGTGACTGATAGATGGGATAGTGAATCTACTACACCAAATGTCAGTGGTTCATAGCATAGCCTTGCACTGAGAATCATTTAATTACCGTTGTTACATCTTTTACATTTTTTGTTTGTTAGTATTCTGTTGTAACCACCTAGACTATATATATATATTGGAAAACTTTTTCTCAACTCTTCATCAGTGATCTTTCGATTTGCGTGCAAAGCTTTTCTTTTCTTTTTCTTTTTTTAATAAATATGGGACCCACCACTAGTTGAGTCACAACATGAGAATTGAATTCCCATTCAACATGAGAAAATTAAATCCCTATATATATATATATATTGTTATGTCTGAAAAATAGAGATGTCCAACCGGTGACTGATATATTTTATGTAGGATCTAGGTGCCCTCTCTCAAGTATCTATGAATGAGATACCCTTGAGGGTAGGCCGATCACTGTGCACAATAATAATCGACATAGTCAAGGCGTGGTGTGTGTGCCCAGTGACAAGCTAAAAGAGAGGGTTTTGAGAGTGTGTGTCCCTTATTGGTTTAACCCCGTATTTATAGATGGGTTACCTGAAGGAGTGTACTTCTGGGCCTCTTAGGAATATTGGGGGCCCAAGTCCAACTGCTTAGCTGTCTAGATAGGATTATCATCAATAGGAGATTCCCTTCCTTTTGTGTTGTCCTTTATTGGTCCTTCTAGAATACGGGCCTTTGTCAGGTCCATAATATATATATATATATATATATATATATATATATATATATATATATATATATATATATAGGGGAGAGATCTTTTGACTCTAGAGTAAGACTTACAACTCTTACTCCTCATCTCATCCGTTAATTTACGTCTATCTAACGGTTATCTATAACAATTAATTATTTATTTATTTCAAATAAATAATAACAGTTAGATGGACAAAAATCAACGGTTGAGATGGAGAGTAAGAGTTGTAAGTCTTACTCTAGAGTCAAAAGATTCCTCTCTATATATATATATATATATATATATATATATATATTTATGAGTTCGCTTTTTCTACGGTCAATGTAGATAACTTATCTACATTGAACCCAAAATGACGTCGTTTTGAGACGGAAATCAAGGTACTTTTGTAATTATAATTTATTTCAAGGTTATAATAGTCTTTTTTATTATAATTTTTAAATTTTTCAACTAAAAACGACTTCGTTTTGAAAGCGAATGTAGATAACTTATCTACATTCACTATAGAAATATTAAAGCATATATATATATATATATATATATATATATATATATATATATGATATAGAACCACTTATACTAAGTAAGGTGTGGTGGAAAAAGGATATCGATAAGGAAATTACTCTAATCTCTCTCTCTTATCTTTACTCTCTTCTCTCTTAGCATGTAACCTCTTCTCTTCCCTCTTCCTCTAAATTTCTTTTCCCTATTCCCTCTTTTCTTCATAGAACTCTTAAAATATCTGCTACAACACTGCTTAGAGTTTAACTGCACTTATCATTTTAACTAAATGAGTTCAAATATCATATATCTTTCTTCTTGGAAGACCCTGTTCTAGAACCGATTTGTTAACATTATATATGGCATTAAGCGCAGTTACAATCGCTGCAATTGAATTATAATACGGATAAACTTTTCCCTTTTTAATTAATAAGCGTTTTTGTTTAGAAATCAATTCCGTAATTAGAACAATTCCAAAAACTGTAATCATAACTTAAACTACGAGTGGAACACTTAATGTGATTTTATTTAAACCATACATTGCTACCATAGTGTGCCAAGTAGTCCCCTTAGACCAACAAGGCTTAAGAACTCATTTTTATTGTTATTCAACACTAAACGCCTCAACTTTTTAGTTACTTAAGAAATTTTATACTACTTATCTGGTCCTCATCTCCTAATATGTTATAGATCTCTCCGTTAGCTACACGTGGATTCAAATCACGCTCAATTCGGAGCACCGTAGCCCAAGTTATGAATTTTTGAAATAAAGGATGCTAAACCCACTAGGCCCGACACGAATTGCGCCACGAAATAGCGAATTTCCAGATTTTCGGCGCGAATAGCGCCAAGAATACATTTTTCAATTGTATGTTGGCGCGATTAGCGCCGCAGTTCTGGAGATTGACCCCAAAATAGGGTAATTCAATCTACTTTAGTATTTTACCCCTAAGTTGAGTTATACTAATTCGATTGACGCAATTTTGGTCTCGTTGTTAAGCTAAGAAAAAGATATATAACTTCCATTAAGACACAATGGTCCAAATCTATCATATAAGATATGCAAAATGGAAAAAAAGACATAACATCCTTATTTTTCTATTGATTCTCAACCCCAAGGTTTTCTTTCACCTAATACACATTATACAACCACTTCAATACATGATTCTTAGCTATTTCAAGACACATTTATCAAATAGGTATCCATTCCCTTCCATCATATATACAATAAGTACAATGTTACACAATATCCAAGTGTCTTTAATACATAACCATGGGACTTAGCTACAAAACATTATGATCAAACCCTTGGCTCTCATCAACAACAAGAGACACAAAATGAGGTGATCATAAACTAAGTCCACTAAATAAAGCATGATGTACATATATCAAATAGTTTTCAAATATAAATCCTATACATAGGAACTACTAAATGACATACATAACAAAAATAATGCAATATCCTCATGCATCAATCTAATCCAAGTAAGACCACTTGCCACCAGAGGCTTCTGCAGCATCTGTACCTGAAAGGGGGTCCCCACAACACGAGATGAGATATACAAATACATCTCAGTAAACCAGGGGTCCTTGAAGCATCTCTCCACCCCATAGTTCACTCATAGTATAATAGCAATAACCAGTAAATAATGCAGTAAATACATATTCATGGAGTGTGTAAAAACATCTCCAGGAGACATCCCTCGAGCTCTCATACTGTCCTAAAGATACTCAGATGCAAATAGTCCTACTGGCCAGCTAAACTACCAAGTATGAATTACGCATCGTCATGCAACATACAAAAATAGGGAAACATCATCCTATGACACACCCAGTGCATGTGTATAACAAAGCATTAAACTACTTTATTACATTTACATACATTATCAACAACCAGCTTGGTGGAACAATAAAGAGATCAATTCCCAAGGTTCGAAGGTTTACCTCAATTGCTTCCAATCTCAACCTTTGTTCACCACCAATGAGCAATCAAGCTTTAGGATCAATACCTACATCAAGGTACTAGACAATCTATCAAAGCAATCCAATGAATACCAATATATTCATCAACCAAACAAACATATTCACACCACAATAGGCATGAACTTACCAATTCAAGTGAGCTAATCAAGCTCCATTGCTTCCTCCAATGGTTGGTCACTCAAGGATGGTCCAATTGTCTCAATCTTAGCCATCACATGGACACAATCAATATCCAACCAAACAATTGCTTGCAAATGCAAGAAAATCCACAAACCAAGCATAGATTCTTGCAATTTTCATAGTATAATCAAATGACTATCTAACTTCACTTCTACCGTTTATTTATCATTCCTAACAACTTTTACAAAGGAATTTAACTTCAATCACACTCTAACATACCCCATTATTTATACATTTTCTTAAAACAAAACCCTAACATACACATTCCCACAAAACTTAATGAAAGTGAGATTTCTTACCATGGGTAGTCTTATAATCAACTAGGGAGTGGATTCGAAGTCTTGAATCAACCAATGAACCACTCCAAGCTTCCTTCTCCATGTTAGGGCACCACTTTTCTCTCACTTTTTTTCACTACACACTTGATTTCAAGAGAATCTAATCTATGAATTGTGTTTGGCTTGAGATTCTATTCAATTTTGATCCAAGAACCAAGTAATTTGGTCAAGGAATGGAGAAGTTGCAAGATGAGCTCTTCAACAATGGTTGTCTCTCTTTCTCTCCATTTCCATCGAAGAAGAAGGAGAAAAATGGGGTAGGGGTCTTGTGTTTCACAACTTAACATAGTTAAGTTATTTTCACCGGGTCATTCACCTCCATTCACCACCAAACTTAACCAAAGGGTCTAAAATATTTTCTTAGTAATATTTTTAACTTTCTTTTTATATTTTGGGTACTTTTGCCTACACATATTTTTAACCCATATTTTTCACTGACTGTACATTTTACCTCAAAAGTAACTCCAATTTATTTAATTAGATATTTTACCTAATTTAACCCACTAATATAAAATTAATTGCTTAATTACATACAATTAATTAAATCTCATGGTAAGGGGTATTATACTTCTCATCCAGCACAAGAATATATCATATATTATGCTATGCGACACACCATAGTCCTTTTAGGGATTGACCGAAGTAAATAGGTTTTAGTTTTAAATTAAAGCAAAAACTATCGCAATCCCAACTGCACAAATTTTTAAAAATCTGAAGCAAAAATTTAATCTGTTGCAGAAAAATTGTGATATCCAAAACAACATCAACTTAAAAGTCGTTGCAAATCAAAAAGGCATTTTCTTATTGTAATGTTCTAGTGGAAACAAATGTAAGCAAAACTGACTGTGCTATTCATCAACTATCAATTATGGTCTTATTGCAACTTTCTTATTACCAAACCTGTATTTATAATGGCTAGCTTAATGTTCACCTCGAAATAGCTTGACACTTCTCAATATGGTCTTTTGTTTAAGGCTGAAAATTGGTTTTAAATCATTGTGAAAGTAGAATGAAAATTGAAAGTAACTTGTACTTTTCCTGAAATTCACTCATTTTGTTCCACCCCAATAGCAATGAAATCGTTAGAGGGGTGAGGGAGGAGATGTTTCCCTTAGAGGGAGGAGATGAGCCATTAGTGTGAAACATAAATCAAGGATGATCATTGTTGAAGTCTCACACAAGACGAGGATTAAGGGGAGGTGATTGGGCTCAGTTATGGCAGGTGAGATGTGATTCTAGAGGAGTTTTAGCAAAGAAAGTAATGGTGGAGAAGATTACATAACTATTTTCTAGCCTTAACCATTGTTGAAGTCTCACGCATATAACTGTTTTTTAGCCCTACGGGATACCTATGAAGTGTGAGACTGCGTGACACTCAGGATGTTTGGCAGAGGAGAATAATTTTTTTAATGTAGAAATATAATCATACAATTATTAGGAATATAGTAGGAAAATGAGTTTGTTAGGAAAATTAAAAAAAAGTTATTTGGTAGACCAAAATATTACCGAAAAAATTGGATTAAATTTTCTGAGTCTATGTTTGGTTGAAGGTAAAATATTGATGAGAAAATAAGATGAAATTATCAAATTAATCCTTGACTAAATATAAAGAAGACTCACTTTCTTTTGGCACGTTTATTGAAAAGGAATATTTGTGTCAATTGCTTTTTTTTTTCTTTTTAATTTGTTGGTAATGAGAATACCACGCTTTCGCTGGTATTCTGAAATAGCAAATTTTTTTAATTTTACACAAATTGAAATTGTTATGCAAATTTGAATGATGAACAAAATATTTAAAACCTCTTACCAAACACGATCAACTGAGAAATCTATTTCAACTTTTTAGGGGCATCCAAAAAAATCTCTCCTACCAAACATCCCGAGGTATAGTGGTCAAGCGCGTGTGTGTGTGAAGGAGGGAATTAAAATGAATAATTTATCTTAAGGTGAGTTAGTGGATTGATCCTGCCCGGCGGCCCATCCGGTCAGTCTCTAGTTTTTTTATATATCTTGCATTTATGAAGATAGAATTTATTTGTGCAAAAAATTTATTTTCTTTTATCTTCTGTGCTTTATTTTCGTCCTCCTCTTTAATCCTCCAATAAACTTAAAAAACTCAGCATTGTGGATCTTTCAGCTGTGAAAATATCATAATCACCAGTCTAGTTCGTTGCAATCTTCATTTCTTTCCACACAAGTTTTTTTATTAGTCTCTCTCTTTGCCGTCGTGTACAAGTTTAACAAGTGTCAAAAGAATAATCCAAACCTTCAAATCAACGGTAGCTTTGAAAACGTAAGAGTAAAGGAATCAAGATTTTCCTAGTCAATTGGAATGGAAAATTCTTTTTATTTTTAATAGCATTACTTCAGAATTGAGTTGAAATGAAATTGGTAAAAGAGTACAAAAAACAGGGGGACAAAACCCAAAACAACACACAAGGAGTATGTCGCATCACGAGTCAACAAAAAGGTTGATACCACCCGCTCAAAATCCTGAATTGGTCGTCTCACTTCTTCGTTGGATTGATAAAGTGGAATTCTTTGGCGCAGGACTTAGATTTCTGACACGACAACCCGTTCACTAACGTTTACTAACTTAGTTTACTCGTCTTTTATAGTCATTTTCCAAGTCAACTTGCGTAACAAGCAGTTCAGAATGATTATATATTTTGTAAGTTAAAAAACAGGGTACAACACGCTTTCATTAGAGAATCATGTTCTTTAATACTTAGAATTAGTTACCATCTATACTCATTTCTTTTCTTAGGTGCATAGCATGCTTTCCATTAATGTCATTGTTTCCCACTCGGGCTTAATTATCCTCTCCTGACAAATCTCAACATTCGTAATGGCCTTCCTTTTATTGTTCAAATCATTAATTTTGTCCCAGCTTCTTCTTCTTCTTCTTGTTTCTGCTCACGATGGAAAGTGTCCACCCTCTTTTGAATGTGGATATCTTGGGCAGATCAGTTTCCCTTTCACAATCACTCAACGCCAAGATTGTGGCGTATTGGCTATACATGGCTGTGATCTTAAGGATCCCACGGCTCCCAAAACCATCCAACTGAGCAATACAACAACAACAACAACAACACGGTTTCCTATTGTTACAAGCGTGGATTCTAAAACCATAACGATCGCAGATGATGTTCTACGGAAGAATTTGCACTCCAAAAGTTGCAAAACCTTCAACAATTATAGTCTTCCTCCCACCTCTCCTTTGGGTTCTTTCTACATCAAATATAATATAACTATGTTCAGATGCAATCACTCTCTCACTGTCACCATTCCCAAATTTTATAACTACTCAAACTGCTCCGATTACAATATCTACTACTATATCCCTCTAAATACTGCAAAAGCTCCTGGTTTCAAGTTGCCAAGCTCTTTAGCACCGTGTTCAACGATTCAGCTTCCAGTGAGAGACCAGTCTACTAGCGACCCCTTTGATTTTCTATCTCCACAGGTCTTAATTCAAGTAGAATTATCTGATGATTGCCAAAAATGTCATCGCCATCAAAGAGGCCAATGCCAACTTAACAACGAAGGAAAATTCTATTGCTTGAAAGGTATGCACAGATACGCAAATGATTCAGCTTACAACAAATGAGTAATGACCTTTAATAAAGGATACCAGCTAAATTCCAACTCCGACTTTTTAGTTTGAAGCATACTAACTCTATTCTTTGCTCTAAAATTAATTGGTTTCATTAGTTTCTGCTGCAGATGATAAAAGTTTGGCGTTGAAGTTAGGACTTGGTAATGTTCCTTTTACATAGTATTTTATTGAATTTTGGCCTGTGACTTCGAATTTAATGATCTTGAGCATCATACATTGCAAGTCTCTTTATACCCTGATTTTTTTTTTTTTGCTCCCTTTATAACGCCTTATGACGAATTCTTACTATTTGCCTCATTTCAACCTTCCATGATGATGCTAGCTGACACAGTCATGCAATTGCAATTAGTCGAAATGATTCAAATTTCCCTTTTGCATGTTCTTCAACATAATCCTCAATTAATAGGATTTCTTCCCCTTTATTGGTTTCTAGGTATTGGACTATCTGGCATTATTATAATTGGTTTGCTGATTATATGGTACTACAAACCAAGATGTGTTCCTGGTTTCTACTCAAATCCATACCCTGAGACGGGCAGTGTTTACTTTGGGGTCCCTATCTTCTCTTATAGGGATCTTGAAGTAGCAACCAAAAAATTTGACCCTTCAAGAGAACTCGGAGAAGGAGGATTTGGAACTGTTTACTATGGTACGTGTCACGTAAACTCCCCCTTCTATAAACATTAGGTTCGAAATTTATCTTCCATGTAGTTAAATATAACTCTTGCTATCATCTCTAACAACTAGGAAAACTCCAAGATGGACGTGAAGTTGCCGTGAAGCGCCTATATGAGAACAACTATAGGCGAGTAGAGCAGTTCATGAATGAAATCAAGATCCTCACTCGCTTGCGCCACAGAAATCTAGTGTCCCTCTATGGCTGCACTTCACGTCACTGCCGTGAACTATTGCTTGTATATGAATACATCTCAAATGGGACTGTGGCCAGTCACCTCCATCAAGAATCAACACACCCAGGTTTTTTACCATGGCCTATCAGAATGAAAGTTGCCTTAGAGACTGCTACTGCATTGGCTTATCTCCACGCTTCTGAAATCATTCACCGTGATGTGAAAACAAACAACATTCTCCTCGACAACACATTCTGTGTTAAAGTTGCAGATTTTGGATTGTCAAGACTCTTCCCCAATGATGTCACCCATGTCTCAACAGCTCCACAAGGAACCCCAGGTTATGTGGATCCGGAATATCACCAATGCTACCAGCTTACAAGTAAGAGTGATGTGTATAGCTTTGGAGTTGTGCTTATTGAGCTAATATCATCTATGCCAGCTGTTGATATGACCAGGCATAAGGATGAGATAAACTTGGCAAATCTAGCTATAAACAAGATTCAAAAGAATGCAATTGGTGAGCTGGTAGATACTTCCCTTGGTTTTGAGTCAGATAGCGATGTTAAAAGCAAAATAGTTTCGGTGGCAGAATTGGCTTTTCAGTGTTTGCAACGGGACAAGGAACTGAGACCCTCCATGGATGAGGTTTTGGAGGTGCTGAGGAGAATTGAAAGTGGGAAGGATGAGACAGGGCATCTAGTTCATGGTGCTGCAGCGATATCACCACCTTCACCAGATCATGATGAGGTGAAATTGTTGAGGGATATGAAGTTAACACCTTCGCCCAAGGCAGTGACAGATAAATGGGATAGCGAATCCACTACTCCTAATGTCAGTGGTCAATAGTCAATATTGAATTAATGCAATATGTAATCTAGTTTATAATCATATAATTGTTCCAATTGAATATCCATACAGATGCAAGAGACAACCATATTTGTGTATCTACAAAAAAAACTTTTCTTTTCTATTCTTGCTTTCTTGCTCTTTTTCTTTTTCTCTTGATCTACATTTCATACAAACTATCAAAGGCTATTTATAAGCTATAAAACTGACAAACATAACTCCACACATAACACCCTCATTACTTTATAACTGACATAACTGACTCATTAATATTCTAACTGGCATAACTTCAAACTCATTAATGCCCACTAACACAAACCCTAAGGACATGACTCTTCACCGGAAAACTCCACATTTCCATTTTCTATTTTCTATTTTTATCTCGTTAAAATTTAACCCAACAATAATTGTCCCTCATACAAAAATAAAAAATAAAGTTAACTTCTTTTTTTTCCACGTATAATGTTGAATTCAATCTCTGCAAAACCATTTGCATTCCTAAGTATTGAGATTCCCATTCAAGTCCAACCATAAGATGAGCGTTTACAATGTTTTCATGATAGAGGCCAACGTCGACTCGACAGCAAATGAAAATTTTAATGCGCCGAAAGGTATATATAATCAAACCTTGGAGAAACAGTTCATAGGCACTTATGGTCAACACATGAATGCATGGGTGTCACTAGAAAATTATGTACATTTGCTAATATTCATTTTAGTTTATTTATTTTTTATAAAAAGAAAAGGAAAGACAAGAAGAGACATGGGAAAATGGTCCAGTGGCACTCGTAATTCCATGGTGATCAGTCATAATCTTTGAAATGTCAAAGAGAGATATTAAAAGAAAGTAAAGGGAAGGTAATGAATGTGTTTGGAAGAAAAAGATACAACCATTCCCAAAACAGATCCCACGCTTGTTAGAAGCAATCAACCACCTTTGTCCCCTCACAATTAACATTCAAATTCAAACTCACTAACTCATCACAATACACTTCCTTTTATTATTAGAGTTGAGACAGACAGAGAGAGTTGTCTGTCTAGCAGAAACAACAACTCAGCTAGAGAGAGTCTTGAGAATCGACATGGCCACGCTCCAGAAATTCAAGCTCTTGGCGATGCAGTGCGGCGTGGCTCAGAGCCCGACCCAAAGCCCAAGGACAAGCCCGCTGGTTCAGCTCCGGCAGCCCAAAACCACTCTGCGAACTCTTCTTTGCCTGAGCCCATCACCTCGCCGGCAAGAACACGTGTTGGAGAAGAAAGAGAAGGATCCTATGCGGAGACACTCACTCAAGGACCTCTTTGTGTCTTCCCCGCCTAGACAGGAGGAGCAGCTGCATGCTTCTACTCCAATGTTGGGCTCTCTTGCCGTTGGGAACACGGCCCTTGTCGGGTCGGATATTTGGAGGTACCGACCCGGTTCAACCAACCCGGTTTCGACTGGTTTCCGTTGCAGGTCGTTACTGAAAAGGAAAGCTTGGCGCCCTCTGCTCCTAGCTATTCCCGAATAATCTATTCAGCCCGAGTCAAGTCAGTGCAATTTCAACCTGATATCACCTTGATATTTTGTTCCGAAATTTCGTCCATTTAATATATGATAAAGTTTGGTTCTCCATTTATGTACTTTTAATATATAAAATTATAATCGCATTTGAGTTTTGATGAGGGTTCCTCAATGTGTATTATTTTGGTTATGGTAGTTTGTGATATTAGAAATCAATCAGATTGTCAGTTTACATATATCAAACTCTTCAGGTGGATTAAGATTAATATTAATAAATTTGAATTATTTGTCCGAATTTAATTTATTCAAAATCCTATTGTGCTGTGGAAAAGGTGTGCTATTCTATGTTGTTTCTTTGTTCTTCTTTTTAGGAAGAAATTGGATTGAAAGGTTAAATTGGAATTGGGTAAAGAGAGGCGTGTGATGTGATACGTTATGAGTTGGGAGAGATGAATACTTTCTTAAAGCATCCACAAGCAATGGCTTTGGTCTTGTTTAGCATTTAAAGAACTTTTACTACTGTTTTAGTTTGAACCGAATAAATCTGTTCTTTAGAATTTGAGGCGGGAATTAGAACATAGTTCTTGACAAGCTATAGACTCATTTGATAAGATTTTCATTTACACTACCTCATTGCAATTAAATTTCTCTCTAAATTTTTAATGGTTCAACATCAAAATGTGTATGCACAAACACAAATACAAAGAAGATCGTGGTTTTGTACCCACAAATACAAAAAACACATGCTTTTCGAAGATCTCATTTCTCTTTCGTGATTCCCCTTCAAACATAAATATCTAAAGATACGAAGCTGTTACATATTGATATAAAATAACGGTGTTCCAAAGTCCCAAACACGCACCGGCAAGGATGGTTTCTATCGAAGTTCATGTTGACAAAAGCTAATTGATCCAAATTGTTATCCTGTCATAATTTCCATGTAACCCCCAACCATGGGACAGGAAACGAGTTAATGATAATCAATTAATCAAATTATATATTTATTTATTTATGGAAAAAGTTCATCCTATGTAATTTACTCCAGAATCATCTATGATCCTGTGATTTTTTTTATCACATATACCCTCGTGGTTTGCAAAAATGTATATTTTTTATCATATTCTGTGATTTTTTACTTTTTACAAATTACAGGGACATATGTGACAAAACAAAAAACCACTGAGACATGAGTGATTCTGAAGCAAACCACAAAGACACTGGTGAACTTTTTTCTTTATTTATTTAACCTTGCCCATCCTTCTGGGCCCGACATCTTGTCAGTCGTGAAGGCTTGGCGATTTAATAATTGCCCTCGTTTGGTAACGGTATTTTTCAAGATTTTCAGAAAATTGAATTTTTTAAAATTTTTAATTTTCTGAGATTATCGTAAATTGAATATTTTCACCATATTTTTAAAAATTGAGATTTTCGGATAAAACAAAATTTCTCCTTTACGAAACGCCTCCTTAACCGTCACAGATAATGACAATCCCAGCCGCTATTATACAGAAAATGCACTTGTGATTCCAACGTATGGCCTGCAGCCTTTATTTGACAGCGATCGAGTAATTGAATGGACATGATCATATTCACACAAAAGACATTGAACAAAATCAAGTTATAAACACGAAACAAAGAAATGCCAAATGAATATCCTCTCAACCCTCCTATATGTCTACAAAACCATGGGATATAGATGCATCCTGAGCCAAAAAAATAGGAGATCATAGACATGTTATATACTTTACTATAATTACAGTCCTAAGAAGCACCAACTTACTCAGAGTCCGGTCTTAAAATCTCATATGGATTTGTTGCAATTGCTGTTAGTATTAAGAGATACAATAAAAATTAGCCGTAGTGAGTTGTTCCAACCATCAAAACCCAATTAGTCGGTTTTTATTTTATTTCCCAATCAATTCATTATAAATTTAATTAGTCCGGTTGGAATATTCTTCTTTTCATGCTCCTAATTGTTTGTATATATTTTTTGGGATTTATTATTCTTATATTACATAAGAAAAAATTTATCTCCTACACACAAATTTAAGATGGATTATACTTACTTTCTCTCCCTGAAAGTGAACCCCATTTACATAAATGAGTCTGTAAGAAATAATAGTTATATATCCTACTGCATTAGAGAGGTTCAGGCTTGTAGCCTAGTTTAGAAGCTGGACCCCTCAAGCATATTTGGGCTTAAAAACCCTAGTCATTAGTCAAGAGAGTTCAACTCTATAACATTATTCCTTTATCTATAATCAGTATAAATGCATATTGTCTTAGCCCAAATCCATTTACAGCCTCATGCCACCCAAATTTATGTTTAAAATGTGATTTTACGTTTTAAATCTTGGTTGACTACTTTTCATTTGAATCAAGTTTGGTCATGAATATGGGTTTGAAGAGAAGTAACATTTATTTACTTTTACTTTGGTGGTTAATGTAACAGCCCAAACCCTGTAGCAGGATATTATCCGCTTTGCCCCGCGCACAAGCACCGTCGAGCTCACGGTTTTACGTTTTGGGTTACCCCAAAAGGCCTCTTACAAGGAAAGGTATCCACACCCTTATTTAAGGCATGCTTCGTTCCCCTCTCCAACCGATGTGGGACATTACATCCTCCCCCACTGGGAATACAGCGTCCCCGCTGTACACACCGGTCCAGGGCCAGGCTCTGATACCAAATGTAACAGCCCCAAACCCTGTAGGAGGATATTGTCCGCTTTGCCCCGCGCACAAGCACCGTCGAGCTCACGGCTTTACGTTTTGGGTTACCCTCAAAAGGCCTCCTACAAGGAAAGGTATCCACACCCTTATTTAAGGCATGCTTCGTTCCCCTCTCCAAACAGTTAAAAATATTAGAGAGAACAACATTATTTTTACAACAAAATATTTTTTTATAAAAATTATTTATATGTAAATTATTTCATTAATATAAACTTTTAATTAATTTAGTTTTATAAAATCAATATAATTTAAAATTAAGTTTGTAAGTGTTTACTATAAATAATAAAGAAATAGAAAAATGAAAGGATGTGAAGAATTATCTTTGACGTTTGTCAATGCTTAAATCATATAAATATCAATTATAATATTTAGGGTTTAATAATTCTCATGTAATATGAGAAGGAAATTTTTTCTATACATTATTCGATTTCCGTATTGACATAGGTTTTACACATGATTTTTTTAACATATTGATCTCACATGACTTTTTGTCTCTATGATATAAGAATTCTCTTATCATATAAGATGAGAATTATAAAACCTTAATATTTATAGATTCAAAAATCAAAACGAAAAGCTAGTTTATTCGTAAAAGAGTTTTTACGTGGCATTGTTCAAGGTCAAAAAGCATTTGAAAAAGAAACATTTAATTATTAATTATGAGGTTCTACATAAAAGTTATAGTTTTAATACGCAAATTTTATTTGTTTAGTTGAATATTCACATTACATGGTAAGCATGCGAACACCTATAAAGGGATTTAAATTCAAAACAAAATGGAATATATATTTTTAGACAAAACATTTGGAATAATTTTTATATTCTATGTACAATTTTAGGATATGACAGCAGAAATTTAGTTGGAGTTAATAGTAGTTCAGGATCATGCACGAAGGGAATTGGTTCACACTAATTAACCATGTTCATCGGATATGCTATTTAAATCAGTAGGACCAAGAAGCTGGTATGCGGGGGTTGTTTGTCCCCTGTACGTGGAGCAAACTAGCCTCTCACGCAGGGCCCATAAAAGGCCCGTTCTCCCGAACGCTCACCAATAAGATTTTGCTTTTGTTCAAAGCATGAGCATTGATTAAACAAAAAATAATTAAGAAAAAAGCATGGGCATTGATCCAAGACACCTACTTGGCCTGGAAATCCTCAAGAGAGATCTTAGGTTGGTGAAAGGTGGTCAATGGTTAATAGTATACAACTTGGACAGTGTGCCCTTCTTCCCATTTTGTGCAAGACTTTCCTTCTTCACATTTATTGGTATATGCTCTCGTCTTACTTGACCATTGATTTTCTAATTATAATTTAATTTTACTCGTTGCCTTTATGTTAATTATTTTCTCTGGCCTTTAGTATCTTTTTCATTTCACTATTTATCAGTTAAATTAACATAACTTTAGGGATCATTATATGTTGCTAAAACATGATTTGAATCGAACTTTTTTGACGTAAATAAAAAATTTATTGGAAACCATAGTTCGTATGTAGAGTATAGGGAAATTTTCCATCAGCCAAATGCAATATGCACAATGGGCCACATGTTTGAGAGAAAAAAATGATAGGGGGTAAATCTAATTGCTTAAAAATTCACAATACTGCTGCATGATGCAACAACACAAGATAGTGAGTTTGCCAATTTGGCTAGTTGTTGTTTTGGGGAGCTCAAGTCACTTTCAAAGTTGCGTAGAACTCCCAAAGGACACTACTTTTCCTCCCAACTAATTTTTTTAAGGGTTTTATGTTTATCATTTAATATAATATAACTTCACTTTCCTACACACACATTAAAGAGGTGGGGTCTACATATTTTTTTTCTCTTTCATCATTCCACTTTCTCTCCCCCTTTTGATGTGAGGGCATGTTTGGTGTAATGTATAAGACCTGATAGTATAAGCTTATACTATACATTATGACATTTTCAGTTGTTTGGTGTGACAATAGTATTGTATAAGCTTATACATCAGGGTCCCCTAATACATCAATATGATGTATAACTTAATCAGGTCTAGGGAGGTGAGATTAGACCTGATAAGGGAGGAATGTATTAGTTTTATCCGTTGCGATTTTTTTTCCTCCTTTTTTAACCCTTCTGCCCTTTTCATCTTCTTCCCCCTTTCTTCACCACCGTATCCCCTTTCTTCACCACTGTATCCCATTTCTTCTTCCTATTTTCTTTTTCTTCTCCCTTTTACAACACATTTCTCTCTCTTATAAAATTGCAGAACCTCCACTTGCTCGAACCAAGAAGAACCATTTGCATTTCATGGAACTTTCACATCGTTCAGGTTAGTTTGTCGCTCTATGCTAATTATTTATCTATTTGTTTGTGTGGCACTGTGATTTTTGGTTCCCATTTGGTTACTGAGAAAACTTGATAGAAATCGAAAACCAAATCGACAAAATAAAAAATGACCTCGTTTGTTTGCTGTATCTCTGTTTTGAATGCACTCTTGAGTTTGAAGTTTGAATTAACATTTGTTCATGTAAAATCAAGCTTTTATAGAGTCATTTGGGAATGACTATCCTACTCATCCCATAAAGGTCTTTTCTAACTTGGCAAAAAGAAAGAAAAAAAACGAACAAATAAAAGAGGTGCCTTGTGCGTAAAAAAAAAGTTGGATTACCAAGCCAACGGAAGAGAACAGAATGAAATGCATGATTAATTTTAATGTATTTTGTACTTGTTTTCATGTTTTTTAAATCCCAGATTTCATTCTTGAATTTTTTACATTTTTATGCTATTGTAGAACACCATATTGCTTATCCAATGGCACATAACAAAGCCCTGTTTATGAGAAAATATGGATTGAAATACGATAGTTCTGGTTAATGCTACCTCAAATTTTTAATTTACCTATCATGAAAGGGATTGGAACACTATACCTTGAACAAAATTTACCCTGAACCTGTTATTTAATACTATAAAAAAATTTCATTTAAAATACTAAAGAACATTGTTTATTTGTTATTAGTGTTCCAATTCCATATTGTTCAATGATTAGATTGTTAGGTGGCTGATAATAGTCCATATTGTTCATTTAAAATACTAAAGAACATTGTTTTTTTTACCCTGAACCTGTTATTTATTACATTGTTTAAACTCAACCAGTAGTAGAATTGGAGTGAGTTTTTTTTTTACTTTTTTTTTAATGTGTTGTTAAAACTTAAAGAGGTTATATTTTTCTAGTGACCTGTTCATACTTTTGCATATAACTTAAGTGTTTGGTTGATAATTTAATAGAAACAACCTTGCTTCCAGTTGGACAGTGGATGGTGGTAGGGGTTGACACACATATAATAAGGTTACTCTCGTGTGTTAGATAAACAATGCTATTTACTTGGACCCTGCCCAATCACAATCTTTTATTACATTAATGTGGGAGCTTTTATTTGGTGGAAGATCATGTCATAAGTGTTCAGCTTTATTTTCTTTTGTCTTGATTTTTATTGAGGTTCAAGATAGGATTGAACTCATGTATTGTATTGTGACTTTTGTATGGGAACTTATATAAATGCATGTATTATTATTGAGTTTTATTTTTTTGTACAGTTGTATTATATGTTAATATATTTGATAGGTATGGCATCTGAAAGTACTCAACAAGCCAACAAAGTTAAAGCAGAACGTAGGGCTTGGAGTGACGAAGAGTTCAGTACACTATTAGATTTATTAGAAGAGGCAGTAGCCTTGAACAAAAGGGCTGATGCTGGGCAATTCAAAAGTGGTACTTTTAAATGGTTAGAACAAAAGTTGGAGGCCAAGTTTCCAGAAGCAGGCATAAAGGTGAAGCCACACATTGAGTCGATCATGAGGAGGCTTAAAATGAAGTATGGTAACATATATGACATGTTGAACACAAGTGGTTTTGGATGGGATGATGTTAACAAGAAGATTCTAGTAGATAGTGATGATGTGTGAAATGCTTACATCCAAGCTAAGGTTCTTTAATTTTTTTAATCAATTATAGAACATGTTTTTTTATTTTTTATCTACTTTAATTAACTATAATGTGCCTATTTTATTTGTTTTACATGTAAAGAGAGATGCAACCTTAAAGAACTATAGGACCAAAGTGTTTCCACACTTTAATCGATTGATGATCATCTTTGGAAAGGATCGTGCTACTGGAAAAAATGTTGAAGCTCCTACTGATGTACTTGAGGACTTGGACGAAGAAGAACAAAATCATGGAAACAATGGTACTACGATTTTTCTAGAGGGAGCTAATGTATTTAGTGATGATGACATCCAAGATGTCACTTAATCAATGTCTGTGAATCAAAATAAGAATAAGGCAAAAGATACTAACTCTGAATGTCGGCGAGTAAGAAAGAGATCAAGAGGAGAGGATGCACTAGCCACTATGATGGGTGAAGGTGTGAAGGAGCTTGTAGAAGTTGTTGGAAAATCTGCTGATAGGATGGGTGCTATGGTTGAAAGTGTTAAGGTAATGGCTGAAGGTGTGAAGGTTGTGAAAGACTTTTATGATGATTCAAGGGGTATTGCGGATGAATTGATGAAATTGGAAGACCTCACACCAAGAGAACGCAATAAGGCGGGTATTTTACTTATGTCGAATCTTCCTCTAGTGCATTTGTTTTTGGGGTTTAAAGGTGAACACAGAGTGCAGTTTGTGAAAGATTTGCTTGATCATAACTCTTGAAATTATTTGATAGAGTTGTAAAAGGCTCATAGACCTAGTTTTTGCTCATTTCATTTTGATCATATTATGTCCTGTATCTAAGAAAAATACTTGTATTTTGAATTGGGACCAGTTTGAACACATAATTGTGATTCTTGGTCATTATGCTATTTATTCGATCAAGTTTTTCTCTTGGTTGTTGCTTTTTTTTGGATGCTTAAATTATAGTTAATCTTGCTTATAATCTACATTGAGGATGTTCACATAGTTACTGTCAATATAGAAGAAAAATATTGTTTTGTTATTATAATATCCCTAACCTAATTAATTAGCAAATTACATGTAGTTAAATAATTAAGCATGTTTTAGTGAGTAAAATTAAGTATAAGGCTTAATGAAATGAATCTGAGTCACTTTGGAGTTAAAAAGTGTATTCAGTGAAAATTAAGGGGTATAAATGGGTACTGGCGAAAGTGCCCAAAATATAAAAATAAAATTATAAATATTCCTAGAATAATATTCCAGACTTTTGGGTAAAGTCTGGTAATTATTGGAGTTAAATAGATAGACGAACCAATACCCACTTGATTCCACTTAACTAATGTTAAGTGGCCAAAGCAAATAGAAACCCATTTCCCACCCCATTTTCCCGTCGCCAGCATCAGAGAAAAGAAGAAAGGAAGGAGAAGGAGAAGGAGGGAGAGAGAGAGAGAGAGAGAGAGAGAGAGCTAATCTCAACCATTTTGAGTGATTCCAAAGCCTAAACCACTCCAAATCTTCCCCTCTTTCATAATCCTAGCTTGGTTTTGAGTGGGGAGCATTGTGGAGAGGGATATTGCTCCTCAAAAATTCGGCCCTTTGGAGAAATTTGGGGTTTTGAGTGCTTCAACCTCCATTGAAGCTTGAGGAGCCATCAATCCTTGGTTGTGTGACCATTGGTGGTAAGATTCTAACCCTTGAACCTCATGATTCCTTGAAATTTGCATGAGTTGGGGTTTAGGAATAGTGTTTTAGGGTTTTGATGAAATGTTGTTAAAGTAGCTATGTTCTAGGAAGAATGGAGCTTAGTGCATGTTATAAGAAATGCTAGGAATGACATTTAATCGGTGAAAATGAGCTTAGATAGTTATATGACTATACTTTGGAAAATTGCAAGAATATGACACTTGGTTATGAGTTTTCTTGCATTGTGGAACCATTGTTGGGTTGGTCCTTGATTGTATCCTTGTGTTGTCTAGGATTGAGGCAATTGGATCAACCTTAATTGACCAACCTTTGGGGCAAGCAATGGAGATGGATTAGTCCTTGAAATAGGTAAGTTCATCCTTGTGTTGTGGTATGAATAGGATAGCTTGGATTGATGGTGATGAGTTATCCTTGAATGCAATATGTTAATTGCATTACCCTTGTATAGGTATATATTTGTAAAAGTGGATTGCTGAAACTGTTGGTGAAGAACAAAGGTCGACTGAAGCATTGAGGAAAGCCTTCGGACCTTGGGTGTAATTCCCTTGACTGTTCCACCAAGCCCTGAAAGGGTAGAGGTTGTGATTGTGTATATAAATGCAATAAAATAGTGTAATGCTTTGTTATACGTATGTGTATGCATTTGGTGTGGCATAGGATGGTGTTTCCCTATGTTGGTATGTTGCATGACGATGCGTAAATCATACTTGGTAGTTAGCTGGCCAGTAGGACTATTTGCATCTGAGTTTCCTTAGGACAGCTTGAGAGCTCGAGGGATTTCTCCTGGAGATGTATTGCACTTTGCATAGATATGTATTTACTGCATTATTATAGTTATTGCTATTACACTGATATGGAACTGTGGGGTGGAGAGATACTCCAAGGACCCCTGGTTTACTGGATATATTCGTATATCTCACCCCGTGTTGTGGGGACCCCCTTTCAGGTAAGGATGCTGCAGGAGCCTCTGGTGGCAAGTGGCCATATCTGGATTATGCATGAAATGTGGCATTTCTTTTGAGATTGTACATGTTGTTTTGTAGCTCACATGTATAGGATTGTAATTCATAGACCATTGATAGATGTATGAATTGTATATTGGAATGGACTTAGCCTATGCTCATGCCTTTGGTCATCTCTTTTGTTGATGAGAGCCAAGGGAATGATCATAGTGTTTTGTTAGCTAAGTTCCATGAATTGTAATGAACATGGTGTGTAATTGATGAGTACTTTGATTTTAATATATGTATGTTCATTAAGTATTGGATTGTTGAACTGGAAACTAAATTAGGTACCTAGTGCTAAATTGGGAAATGTTGAGAAAACAAATACATCCTGTCCGTTTGACCAATTTTCATAACCAATGTGATGGAATTGGACTTTGATGTCTCTAGGGAAGTGGTAGACATTCCTCTTAGCTTTCCATAGAGACCAAAATGGTGTAATTTGAGTGAGTATAGCTCAAATTATGAGTGGAAAACCATAGGTAGGCTAAATGACCTTGTTTTGGGTCACCCAGCTCTGTGGATGGCGCCTGGGTCGCCAAATTCACGCTTGGGGCGCCAAATTACGAGATCAGACAGTAGCATCCACGCTTGGGGCGCCAGATTCACGCTTGGGGCGCCAACTTTCTGTTTTCCCACGCTCTGAGCGTGGATCTCACGCTGCGGGCGCGGGGGTTCTGGAGGTTTCGCACCCTTTTCTTAAAAAGTGCATAACTTTGGCTACGGTGCTCCGATTTGAGCGCGGTTTGAACCCACGCGTAGCTAATGAAAAATACTATAACATAGTAGAAGATGGGAATCATAAAAGGAGTTTAGAATTAATTTGATAAGTAAAGTGATGAAAACATTTCACGACGTATTGTCAAGTATAATGGGAATATAATCTTAAGTTTTGTCCCACTATTCCGCGAAGTATATATAGTTATGATCACGCACTTGGTTATTTGAATCCGGCTTGTATAAAGAGGAAAAATTTATCCGGTTTTCTAATTGAACCAATGTGATTGTAACTGCGCTTAATGCCGTACGCAATGATAACAATCCGGTTCTAGAACGGGGTGTTGCATTTTATGGTATCAGAGCAGTTTCGTAGGGAATAACTGTTAGCTATTGTTGAGTATGCTTAGTGTTTGATGCTTTATAGTTGTCTTGGTACTCTTTATGATTATTGCACTTGTGATCACTAAGTATGAGCCTGATCAACTCATTTCTGTGTGTAACATGTGTAGTGACATGACGAGGAACCGGAATAACCCCGGACCATCAAACACCAATGCTCAGCCAGAACCTGTTTTGGCTGCTCTTGTGAGGCCTAGAAGTGGCCGTGGGGCAACGGGCGTACAGCCTGATCCCGTGGCTGAAGCTCTTGCAGCTGTTCAGAGGGAGTTGGCTGCTAGCAGGCAAGCCAATGAAAATCTGATGAAAACAAATGAAGACTCGCGGACTGCCATGGCCGCAATGATGACCGAGTTGAGGACGTTGAGGGGTCCTAGGCCCGTGAACCGGCAACCCACTCCTCCTCCTCACACTGCTACGCCTTCTCCACCTCCTTCACAGGAAGAGGGTGGATTGGGTAACAATGAGGGTGAGGGTAGTCACCACTCTGGAAGTCGGAGTCATCACACTGAGGTTCGTCAACCTCGAGTTGAAAATGTCGGTGATCATGAAATGGAGGAAAGGAGATTGATGGCTTTCCGAAAACACAAACCTCCTTCTTTTAAGGGAGGTTATGAGCCAATGGCGGCTGCAAAGTGGCTCAAAGCGATGGAGAAAATATTCAGGGTAATGAGATGCCCTGACGTAATGAAGTTGGCTTACTCTGTTTATATGCTGGAAGAGGAAGCGGAAGATTGGTGGACCAATACAGTGCAGCCCTTAGAAGCTGAAGGCCGGGAAATCACCTGGCGGTTGTTCGAGACGTTATTCTTGGACAACTACTTCCCTAGGGAGGCTAGGGAGCAGAAGCAGAATGAGTATAATGATCTAAAGCAAGGGTCGATGTCAATTGACCAATATTTTGCTAAATTCAACGAATTGGTGAAATATGCTAATTATGGGAGAGCCTTACCTACTCCGGTCGAGATGACCTCTAAATTTCAATGGGGTCTGAATGAGAAAATGTCTCGGAAGATGTCTAATTGTGATATCCGAGAGTTTAGCAAGTTTGTGAACCAATGCCGGAGAGTAGAAGAAGTTTATAATGTGGTAAAGAGCAAGAAGTCTTCTGGGACACAAGCGTCAGGTGCTAGTGGAGCAACTGACTCTACTTTAGAAAAGAATAAGAAAATAGATGACAAGAATGGAAAGAAGAAATTGCAAGCGAAGCAATCTGATGATAAATTTAAGAGAAAAGGAAACCAAGGAGAGATAGTTGTGAGTGAATTCCCCCTGTCTAAATGTGACACCTGCGGGAAGACACATAGAGGCACATGTTGGTACGAAACAAAGTCGTGCTTCAAATGTGGCCAACTGGGTCACTTTGCTAATGTATGTCCTACTAGGACTGATCGGATTTCAAATGTACACGCAATTGTTGGATCTCGAGTAGGAGGTCAAGATTATACCTTAGAGCCACATGATGGGGAGGAAACTCTCAGGCAAGTTGAAGGTATGATTTGAAAATTTCTTTCTTGTGAATTGTCCACCCAGTGT